CATGCACCACCCAAATTAGTTTGTATATGATGAGAAATGAATTGGAAAAAGCATCAAATGTCAATGACAATCGTGACACATTAGTTTTTCTGTCTCCCAATCAATGGATTATGTTGTGCGACACCAGCAGGTTCACCTGAGCCACTGTCCTCCAACTCAAGAGGGCAGAGAAATGGTGCACAAACTATGATAACAAAACGGACCAAACGATGCCGTACAGCTCAGTGGCATTAGTGAATTGTCCAAAGTACATTCTACCTTTTGACCTATTGACTGCAAGAGATAAGCATCAGAGCCCGCCCAGCGTCTCCACAGGAACTGCACAAAGAAAATAAATAGGTGTATAAATGGATGGAAACAGTGGTTCTCAGACCCAATACATGTTTCAAGGTTTTTCTTCATGACTTGGCAGACTGCAGCACTTAATGGCATGCTGAGGAGTGTGATCACTCCAATAAGGTATTCTGAAGCAGAGCCACATCTCAAACATGCAGAACAGTGCATCCTGATGCAGAACAGTGCATCCTGAAGACCAGGACTAAGAAACACTGCATTAAGACATTTAGGTTCTGAACACAATTGAATGAAAATGATCCAATTTTGGTCAATTCAGGATATTTTTGTTCTGCAGTCTCTGCAGTAGCTCATTCAGCAGTGTGTGCAGGTAACAGCACAATTGGGAAGTGACAAGGCCTGGACTGGGCTCGAGCCAAACTCTTTGTGTGTGTTTGTGTGTCGGTGTGCGTGGAAGAAGTGTGCAAAGTGCTGACATGGCGAAACTAGACCTCCCTGAAGAGACAGCAATTTTTGTGCGACAGCAACAGAGACGCTAAAAATGCATACACACAATGTGCAACTTAAACCCTACTCCATTGTTTAACTTTCCTTTCGGGAAAAATAGTCATCTCCTGCCTGAATTATGGAGCTGACAAGTAAAGCAACGCTGGTTGATTTAAGAGACCAAATTCTTTAAAAGAGACCAAAGTAAACTGCAAACAGCCTGCTGATATTTACCAACCCAACTGGTCTGTGACACATTTCAAACAATCCAAAGAGAAGGAACAGATCTCACACTGCTGAGTCTAGTTTTCTGTGGACACAGTGCTGGCTCTCTGCTCCAGAGACAATCTGTGTCTAGTTTCAGTAAAATGCACTTTAAGCAGTATGTTAATATCTGTACACATAGTCACAGCATACTGATATACATCTGCAAGTGTCATGCATGAAGCAATACAAATTTTTAGGTTGCAAATCTTTTTTTTTTTATTTCATTCCCACATGTGCAAAATGATGCAGTAGCATGGCTCAAAATGAGACTGAAATAGATTTAAAAGAGGAACTTGATCTTAGAAGCGGTGCATGACTTTTCACTGAAGCAGATTGCTCGGAGAAAAACATTCTCACATGTGAGTCTACAAAGACAGCAGCGTGTGCTGAGTGTACAGTACATTTCTGCAGTGCTGCAGTGCCCTGTGCTGAGGAGGGAGTGGCTTCTCCCTCTCAGGTGGATGATGACTTTGATGCTCGCAGCAGCTAAATCCTCCCGCCCCCCCCGCTGCTGGATGGACCTGATGTCACTGATGTCATGTACGAGGTTGCGTGTGTAGGCAGGTGGATATGTGTGGGTGCAAAACGTACCCTCCCACTCCAACACACACAGACGCACGCACGTTTACTCACACAAATGCCCGTGGACAACCTTGCCCACGCTCCTGAAAAGAGAAAACACATGTAACGACTCGGGCGAATCCTGTGACACATCCCGACCACCCACATCTTTGAGAAAAGCTTCTACGAAAAGCTAAACGATAAAATAAAATAAAATAAAAAATCAAACAGTTGGAAACAAAACTGACATAACACAATCAGTTTGTCTCCTTTCTTGTCAGCATTTGACCTGGTGCTTCTTTAATTTACCACTTCCAGTCCTTCATCCCAGGAGACATGAAGCAGACAACCACTGACTGATGTCCAAGCTTGTCCTGCCCTTGACCTGACAAAACACAGCAGATGCAGCCTAAAATGAAAGCCATCAAAGACATCAAGAGAGACTAAATAAATGCTTTCCAATAAGTTATCCAGAACTCACAGAAGTGTTGCATTTAGAGGAGATATTTATGCAAATAATATGCCATTTATTTTCAAAGTCAGAGCCAATCCAAGATGTAAGCAAGCCAACCTGGCCACCAGGATCCTCCCAAGAGGAATTGACTCCTCACACACACTATGGGTGTCAGAACATCGGATTCAGATTTATAATTTAAAAAACAATCAACCTAATCTGCAGCTTTCTTAATAATATCAAAACTGAAAAATTTTAAATTCTTGTAACTTATAACTTGAGATGTATGAAGATATCTGCAAAGGTCAGCTATGCAGTAATTGCAATCGTACAGTTGATAACACAAATCTAGCAGTGAGGCATCTTCTGGATCACACAAATTTACAATTTTGATTTTGACAAATTAAGACTTTTTTCTAAGAACTATGACAAACAAAGTTATTGTTTTTTTGTTAGCAAAATTTGTTTTAAATTCAACAGAAGACAAAATAACTACAAGACCAGTATCTTTCATGAGACTGGTGTCAAAACCATTTGCCAATACACTCTGTCTGATTTCTTTTCTGAAATAAACTCAAAATACGCATCTAAGGTCTGATACATTCACAGACTGAAAGCAGTGGGAGTTCTTAGTTTCAATGCATTTAATGACAAGGATAAAAATGAAAATGACAAGGATAAAAATGAAAAGGATAAAAAATCTTTCCGTTTTTTTCCACAAACGTTCACCGATCAAAGAGAGTTAAAGCAAACTTAGTTTTCGATTTCTGCTCAATTGAGATCTGGATTTTCAAAAGAATGTTCTTTTAATGCGGTGGCTATGTTACAATCATAACTTTATGCCATTATAAATATCATCCTTGTGATTTGTATCTCTCATAACAGATGCAAACAGATAACAGATAAGTCTTCTACTTATGTACAACTGTCTGTAGTTTTCTAGCAAGCACAACCAATTAGAGTCATTTGTTTCAAATGTCATTGACTAGTTAAACTTGACCAATCCTTAGAGACTCTTTTTAAAGAGCTGTACACTCTAAATGTCTGCCAGATCAATGAGTTAGTCAGAGGAACAACATCTAAGCAACGTATGTACAGATATTTGTTTAATAAGTAACTCAGACTATTATGGGGACAAAAAAAAAAAACATAGTTACTTTAACACCTTCATTTTTAGGACACCAGTGTGAGCCACCACAGCAGTACTGTATTCTGTGCTTTCCTTAAATCCTGAGTCTGCGCTGAGTTTGACAACCACAGCAGTGGTTGTCAAACTCAGGCAACATGAAAACACCGAAATGATTCATTTTTGTTTCAAATGTTTTCAAAGTTCACACTATTGCAGGTTTTTGGTCTCAAAAAGAATTATTGCTGCATATGTAGTAAATAATTAGAAAGCAAACAAGCTATAAAAAGACAAATTGTGTTTCTGTAACTCCCTCGTTGAAAGGTTTATCAGATAAATCTCTTATATTTTTCTCCACTAAGGGCTTTCGTGACACCTGCTCATCAGGCCCGCAGCACCATTCTTCTGAACTACAAGCAAACAACAAAGACTGAAAATCGTCTGAGTCTTTCTGGGGGCAAACAATAAAACACAAAAAGATCCTTTTGTCAACATCAGAATCCAATTTTTGGGCTGCAGCTAAGCCTCCAAGAAAATCATCACTCATCAGATTATAAATGTTCTCCTTTTTTTCGGAGCTTTTGCAGTGGGTGATTATCAACCTCTAAATCTCATTGGGTTTGCAGAGGGATAAAAAAGCCCAGAGTCTTCGCTTCACCTGAGGAAAGAAATGTGATAAATAGCGCTTTTACTGCACCAGCATTCAGCTACAGAAACACATGCATACACATGTCTAGGCGCACACACACACACACACACCCACACACACACACACAGCAGGCTATTTTTGGCAACAGGACCGTAAAGAGTTAACGATAAATCAACTGATCAGAGTAAGACGGTCAGAGGTGGGGTGTACAGACAGCACGTTCCAATCTTCACAGACTGCCTTTTTACATTGCTATTGATCTTTTGACTGAGAAACACAGCATGACATCGATCTTCACACCAGCAAAAAGGGAATAACGTCTTCGTGTTCATCAGGGGCCCGGCACGGCTGTGAGAAAGCGACGAATGGATCTAATGTCTGAAAATTGTGCATTCATCTGTCCAAATGTGTGCATGCAGAAACAAATAAAGATACACAGAAGATAGATTGTCACAGACACATGAATCAATGAGGGATGACACAAATCCACAGGTTTTTATGCCTGACTGCCTGTCTGTCAGACTGTCCCTTTATCTGAATATAGATAAAGAGCTCCAGGGTACCACTGTCAGTCCTGTAGTGACATGCATGGGGAAACTAGTGCAAGAAGCAATTAATAGACAGAAACATTCCACTTTTAGTTCATGTATTGGGCCAGACCAGCAAACAGGAAGGACTGAGAGGATGATGACAGCAGGATAAGATGAAGGATAAGATGAAGGAGGGGAAGTAGTAGATCTACAGGAGACCTATGAGGAAGATATATTAACATCTTATTAATTCCTCATTAGGGCTTACATAAGGTGATTGAGGAGAGCAATACATGCATTCCTGCAGGCTGAATAATGTGTCTGACATGCTTTGGTGAAAACTGATAAGAGTTAATCATGTTGGTGCAGGCAGACGCAGACTGATGCAACACCTGTGGATCAAGGTGAATGAACAGAGGGAGCGCAGACAGGACTACTGCATCTGCTTTACGAGCCCACCAGAAGCACTCCACGTTTTATGTCCTAGAGGGGAGATTACACACAGCAGCACAGTCCCCGTCCTCCTGCAGGGCAGAGCAGAGGAGGCAGCAGCTGCGCCTCCATCCTCCATGTAACCCAAGCATGCCCGACCTCCAACTGCACGCATCATCCATGACATCACCCCAAACTCACCAAAGTTTGCTGGTACTGGAGTGTCCGCTCCTCTGCTTTGCCCTTCACCATCGCTGCAAAATCCTCATTGAGAGGCAAAAAATAAATAAATAAAAAAATCAGTTTTCCTCTAATTAATCTTCAGCAGAGGAGAGGAGCGAGGACTCAGTGTGACTCGCTGCCATCGCGTGAGCGGTGTGTAACAGGTTTGCTACCACCAGCCCGCCTGCATGGTGCAGAGGACTGCTGCCTTGACGTGTGAGTGTGTGAGCCAGATGAGAGGCACAGCCGGCTGCTGGCTCGCAGCAGCGATGCAGTTTAACTGCGAAACACCGCCTCCCTCCTCCACTTTACTCCGCTGCTCTCTCTCTCTCTGGAGCAGCTGTTAGAGGACTTTTACACTAATGCTTCCTGGACCTGGGCATGCGGAGGTAGCATCCAGGTGACATACGTCAGTGCTAAAACACTTTACAGTACACTCCAGAGTGGTATTTCTGAGCAGCACAGCTGTATTTTGCTCCCTACTTCAGTCACCGCATGGATGATAACAAAGAGAATGATTAATTCATAAGGGTTGTGGTTAGCCTGTAATTGGGAGTCATATATCAACGCCTGTGTTTAAGATGAAAATGACTCATACCCAAATTTATATCTAAAATTAATGTCATTCAAGTCTGTTTCTGATATTTTGCAATGTAGTTAAACAATATAAAAATTGGAACAGTTCTGAAAAAAAATATAAATAAATTAATGTAAATAATTTATATTTTATTGAAAATGTGGATCAAGATGAATGAAAGTTATTTATATCCTTCTTCAAAATCAATTGGAAAATCTTCATTTGTTGTCAAACCAGAAAGGCTCCCATAAATGCCTGAATCTTTACACAGACTAATGTTTTAGTTTAATTTTATTTTTACTGACAATGAGAGGACTACATCTGATTTAACAGTGGCACAGTTAATCGCTCTGTTGTCTTGAAGCAAGAAGGCCTGAGGTTTGAATCCCATCCTGTGGCTTTTCAGCATGTCATTTGCCGTGTGTGTCTGCAGGCATCGCCACTGGTGATGGTGAGGTAATGGAGATAGAAGGCGTTTATTGTCTGCCGTATTTGGTGAAGTGAATTCAAGAGCAGCGGCGGCTCACGGGGGTTGGTGAGTTGTTGGTTTGAACCTCTGCTCTGTCCATCTTTGCCTTGTTGGTTTTGGGCAAGACACTTCACCCGCTTTGGCTGCTGATAGTGTTCTGAAGGCCCAGTGACACCGATTGCGTACCACTGTCAGTGTGTGAATGTGTGCATGGATGAGTGAACGACTAATTGTAGCGTAAAGCACTTTGGAGTCCTCGGACTTGATAAAGCGATGTACAAGGACAGATTATTTCCTGCTGTAACTATCAGCCAAAGAGGTTATTTTGCACCATCTTACCAGAGCACATATTTTTTCACATGGTTGCTGAGTCCTCTACATGGCTTGTGGGAAATTGCTAGTTAGACCTATAACTTTCTTTTAACAACACCTCTGTTCTTGCTGCTCCACTTTAACAGCCAGATTACTGCAGTGTTTAATGCAGTGCATGACTAATCGGTGGGCGACTGTGGTTGTGTGGCAGAGTTGTCGTCTTGCAATCGGAAGGTTGTAGGTTTGATTCCAGCTTCCTCCTGCCACATGTCGATGTACCACTGGGCAAGGCACTTAACCGCAAATTGCCTACAGGTCTGTGTATAAATAGGTGAATGTGACTCTTTGAGTGGTCAAAATGACTGGAAAAGTGCTATATAAGTTCAGTCCATTCCATTTACCATTTTAATCGCCGTAGTAGCTAAAATCCACCAACATGGGATTCCTTACACAAATCTAAATCCACTTATTTCTACCTATTACGGTAGTATAAATATACACCTTAATATGCATTAATACTCACAGTCAAAACCATTTTAGTATTACATCACACGCCAATGTAAACTGAAAATTTGTCATCATTGACAAAAATTGTTTTGTTGTGGTGGAATCATATACCACTGCTTACATTTAGGTCACCAGAAAAGTCTGAATGTCTCTGCTGCACTTCACCATCATCACTGGGAGAAGTGGTTTCAGTATTTTGTACAATCAAGTTGGAGTACATTAATCTGGCTGAATTTAAGTGATGTAAAAATCTGAATATTTTCTTCCATTGATAAGAATGGAAGAAAGGGGTTCCCTTCATTCTCAGAAAGGCCCTTCACTCTCGTTCTTCCGGTTAAAAAGCAGCTTTAGAGAGACTGAATATTCTTTATCTCTCATTTCAGATATTACTGACAGAGGAACGCAATGAACATGTTATGAAAAAGCAACATCATGATTACTGCACAGTAGAGTTGTTTCCAGATCAAAAAGTGTTATAAATCACCTAGAGAGAGATAAACAATGAAAAAAAATATCAAACTGTCGATAAACAAAGGCACAGAGCCCAGATAAAATGTGGTATATATTGGTGTTCAGGATCTTGTTAATTCATGCATGTACTCTATATTTGTTGAATGAAGCTCTCCTGAATCATTTGCAGACTGTGCACCATTAACAACAATTAAACACAATTTAAATGAAAGAAAATATATAAATCTTTGCTTTCAATACTTTAGAAAAGTGACGTTCAGTCCTCATATTGAGAGACTTTCTGCTCGCAAGCACTTCAAAAAAGTAATCTTAAAACCACTTCACTTACTTGTCAAAAAAGCTATTTTTGAATGAAAAGGTGCATGCATGCCTGCAGAAGCCCTTTTCAGAAACCTCAAAGCTCACACATGAAGCCTTACTACACTCTTGAACCTCTGTGATCCTTTAATGGATGAAAGATCATATTCCTTGAAGACCAAAGGCATATTAGGGGTGAAGAGATTAACCAGTTTCTCAGGACAGGCTGCAGTTGATTAGCTCTTGGAAAAGCAACAAATGGAGAGTCAGACCAGGGACCAGAGGACAGCCGGAGCTGAGAAACCTCTTAGACTCAAGTATGCTATCAGAAACTGCATTTCATTCCTATTTTGTGTGATTATTTTGGGCCTATATTGTATGAGGATAATGAGTTTCACCAACTTCATTTACGTCGTAGTGAAACAGACAGAGTTAAGGTGCGGAGCAAAGTATTTGAAACACTTGATTTTTTTTATTTTTGTTTTACATTTTGTCATGTTACAGACAAAACTTCAATGTATTTATATGGGTTTTATGTGGTCAATAAACACAACATTGTGTTTATTTGTAAAAGAGAAGTAACATTATCCATCACTTTTTCCATTTTCTTATAAAAAAACTAAAAACTAAAAACTGAGTCAATGCAAACTTTCACTACAATTGTATGTTATGTTTAGGGTAACTAATGTGCATTAAAGATGCATTTCTTTTACATTAATAATTTTGTGTACAGTATAGAACGTTTTTTTTTTAATTCTCTTCAAAAGAGATTTGATGTTACACCCACACAGATGATAGTAAACAGCAAAATTTACTTTTTATGGCTTTCTTTCAGCAAGGAAAGTTTTATTCTCGCCACTTATTTAGTCATGTTTTAATAGTAGATTCCCTCCAGGCAGGCTCTTTCCTCTGAGCTGTGGATGTCAGCAGTTCTTCTTGGGGACATTGTTTATGAACTAATCCCACTTTAAATTTCACCACCACTCGATATCTTGCCTGTCTGGTCTTCTCCTTTGCCTTCCAAATTCTGATGTTGATTCCCAAATTTTCCCTAAAAAACCTTTGGGGCCTTACAGCTGGATTTACACCAAGTCTTTACTAACAGGTGCACTCTGTGTACCATCTAGAGTAATTGGTAGAACCAGATTTATTTTAGTAGTTTCACATTGAAAAAGGTCGAATACAAAAGCGAGGTACATCTGTGATAATTTTATTTGTAAAAATGTTCAAAAACCATGTTTTGTTTTTGTTCCAGATCACAATGCATTTTGTGCTGATTTACTACATATGGTTGAAAACATCTGATTTTGAAGACATTTACAACTAAATCTCTGACTTATCATTTCTCTCGGTATTGTGGCATTTAGCAGAGAGAAATAAATTGAATTTTAACTGACCTAAAACAAGAGAAGTTTGGTCTGATTTAACTTCATACAGTGGAAAAAAAGTTTCATGTGTCTTCTTAAGCTTCTCATTTTGACTGCACAAACACCAAGAAATAGATTCATGTAGAGTTTTTGAGCTAACATGTTCATAGCTGATCAAATGTAAAAAAAAAAAAAAAAAAACATAAGTATGAATACTTTTAAAAGGTATTTTAATCCTGTTCTGTCAGTTCCAAATGTGGATTCAAGCACTTAATTAATGTATCTGTTCACACAGGCATTGTTTGGCTTCAAAGTCTATAATCTTGTAAAGGACTCCTCCAGGAAAGAAGACATTTGGTTGGGTAACAGATGAAACAGTTGTTGAGCTGCAGCTTGGTCTTGGCAGGGCAACAAGTGGAAGGACATAAAGTATAATGATTATATTGTATTATTACATAGGAATGAGATTGGATTGAAACTCAGACACATTACCAAGCTGAGGTTAATAAAGTTTACTAGCTTCCTACTAAGCCAGGCAGAGAACCATCTGCAGGGCCCCTGGACAGTCGAAATGTTTGAGGGAACTTACATCATCAAATATTATGAAAACAAAGTCAGAGTATAAAATGACGCTGCAAGGGGAATGCTTTGTTATTGTTCTCTTATCGAACAGGACAATGATAAGACATTTTCTTGTCTTAACACTTAAGACAAGAGCATTCATTTGTTATTTCATCCCTATGTTTTGCTGTGTTACAAAGACCTTTTAATCCGTTTTGCGCATCATCACCATGTACCCCATGCACCACCGCCTGTCTATTTTTAATGTCAAGTTACTCAATTTTAGGTCAGTCTGTGGTCTGCATGATGCATGAGCTGTGGGGGGAATCATCAAATAAAATCTGAACATCGCGAATTAACCGACCTGTAATTATCATTTGTCCTTGAGCCAGATGCGGACAAAGTTAAGGAGACATTTGGATGGATTTTATACTTCTAAATACGAGAGCCAGTCAGGACGCTGTGTACTCACTGTTTCCTCTGGGCTGCTTTTTGCTCTTTTA